CGCCCGCTCCCAACTGGCGCCCAAGGCGCTTGCACCCCCCCCCCCCCCCCCCCTAGTTACGCCACTGCAGCTGAGTGTTTTCTGTTTTCCAAGACCATAAGGGGAACTGGCAAGAGAGCGTAGCCATCACCTGGTCTTTCTGCGAAAGTTAGAGCCGTCGAAACATCATCCAGGAAGAGAGACGCTGCAGCAGGTGCGAACCCAGCACTGTCATGTCCAGTCGCCATAAAACGTTGATCGCAAAGTTCGCGGACCGCTAAATTTCTTTCTTTTTCTCTTTGGACCCTCTCCGGTTTTTACATTTCCTACCCGAGTACAGACTCGCCCCTCGACTCTCCTTCAAACTATCCCTATGTTTCGTGGACTAAAATGTTACGAGAAAATGACGACGACGGCGGCGTCAACGTTTTGCCACACTGACAGCTTCACGGCCCCTCGTCGGAAAACTCCCTCACGTCCGAACAGACGATGCATTGGTATTTTGTCAAACGGCCAAGAGATTAATATGGGATCTCTGGGGTTGTTCTGACTTTTTTCACTCCCGCCTCGACTCCCAGCATACCAATTCGATATTAAATTTGTAATTAGGTCTCCCTCGTGGAATAGAGACGATAGTTTACACAGACTACGTCTTGGACTAAATAAAAAAAGGAGTTTCTTTATGAAACCAAGGAAGCTAGCGGAACGAACTGTCCAAGATGCAACACTCTAGAAACCATGGAACACCTCCTCATTGTATGCACTCTTCGCGCTACCGAGAGAAAGGTACTCGAGATGACACCCTCAAACATGGTACTGCACCATTTACCGTCGAGGCTGCGCTGACTGTAATAAGACACATGGCAGGCCATGACCCAATGAGGTGTAAGATAGCGTCACTCTCATAACCTCATCATCGTCCATGTTCACCTCATGCCATTTCGTCTTGCCATTTTTTTTCTTTTATCCCCCTCCCCCAGTGTAAGGTCTTGTTAGAGTCGTCACTCATACAAACTTCCATCTTTCAACCATCCTTCTCAAACTCCTCGGAGCATAAGCTCGGCCACAGCCCTCCCCCTTCTAGAGTCTGTTGCGAGACGAGGTAGGCAGGGGAAGCTCAGCCCCCCTTAATTACAGGAAAAAAAAAAATACTCTACCAAATGAAGGAGAAAAAAGAACGCACCATTTTCCTGAAATTAGAAAAGGGGGCACCGTGATAAGACCGCCCTTTAACTACACTTAGTTGCTTGAAAGTGACGTTTGAAGTCCTATGAAATTTCACGATAGATGGTGTTTAACAGAAGGGGAGTCACTACCGGCTAACGTTCCTCCAACACAGGAACGAAAGCTCTTTCCTCGTTTCCTTTCAATCTTGGAACGAGTTCCCGTTCCAAGTCCCAGGGGCTCAAAGGGAACGCGTTCCAGTTACGTCTCTAAGATTGGAACGTGCAATTACATTTACTTTACTTTGCGTAATTTAATAAAGTATTGGGCATCCGCATCGATGACGCGCCACGCACCACGACGCATCAAATTACGCGTCATACTGTCGCCACGATCACATTTGTTCCATGCTTCGGAATTAAAAACAGCGCGGAAAGACGAGGACCAGACAAAGAAGTGACACGGACGTAGCGCTGTTGTTCCAGTTCTTTGTTCTCGACTATCGCTTGCTCACTTCACCATCCCTTGAAGTCGGAGACTCTGACTGAGATAGTTGAGAACAAAAAGCCCCCATGGCAACTAAATTCGGGTAAAACTGCAAATATATGCAGACAAGAGAGGGAGAGAAAAAGGAACGTCATTCTTTCTGCCTTTTCCTTGAAAACGTGACGAGTTCCCGTTTCAGTTTCAACAACGAAGATGGAACATCGGTGTTCCTCCTTATGCGGAGAGCAAGTTCGTCTGCTTCCTTGCGCAGGGGGTTGTGGTGACGTCTGAACGCCGAGCTCTGATTGGCTCCGATTGCAAAGATAGTAGGTAAACCTCAAGGCAGCTAGCGGTGAAGTCTACCCACTATCCTTCCAATCAGAGCCAATCAGAGCCCGGCGCTCTGACGTCATTGCAACCCCTGCGCAAGAAGCGGACAATCTTGTGCTCCGCGCATACGAACGCGCTAACGTCGTTCTTTGAACGCCGCTCCGTACAACACTGCTATTGGCGCACCAGTCTTGCGCGGTGTGGGCTATGCCTCACCACTGGAGGCCTTGTGTCCTAAAAGACCATCCACATTTGCAAGCCGACATGCTTTAGAAATACTTTTCTGGCCACCGTGGGTAGAAAACGATTTGTTGGGGCACTCTAGCGAGGCTCGACCATCAGACGACCCATCAGACCCTGTTGCTGTTTACAAATATGAACTGCCACTTGCGTCCCAAGCGACTTCAGTGGTGCTATGTTGCGCTTTTCGGACTCCCAGGAGACTAGGGAGAGGGAAGTGACGTCAACGACACAGCAAACGCAGATTGGACGTTGATTTCGTTTTCTTCTGTCAACATCCAATCTGCGTTTGCTGTGTCGTTGACGTCACTTCCCTCTCCCTAGTCTCCTGGGAGTGCAAAAAGCGCAACATAGCACCCCTGGTCGCACCGTGTTTGCAAGCCTGTCGAGCTGGTGTCACCAGTGCTAGAAAGGATAAATGCTACACGTACATCAAAGTGGGAGATTCAACGAAGGCCCTCGGCTGGATAATTAAACGTCTCGGAGGAGGCAATTTGGTTTACAAGATTATTCGAACATGTTTAACAGACCTCGCGCTTCTTCGTTCTTTTGACGTTCACCCGAACAATTGGTGGTTCAATGTTTCATCAACATTTCAAGCAGCGGTGTTAGGGTGGGGCTTTGTTCATTCTTTTTATGAACCGGAAGTTCTCTGGGACGCCAAAGACTGGAGCACCGCCTGGTGGCGTTTGCTATAAAAAGGATCTATAGTCGCGATCAAAGGTTAAAGGGCCCATGAAACGAATTTTGGGCCGTGATAAATCAATTTAGGTTGGGATTTTACTAATAGCACGTCCTTCAGTGATCCAAAAGAAAAAAAAAAAAAGGTAGCAAGCAAAAGCCTGACTTTCGGAACGAAAATTTGAAAACACAACGGACCATTTCGTGCCTCCTTGTTTTCGTAAGTTCTCTGCCTTTTCACTGTGATACATCCGCGGTATTCAAAGCGCGTCACCGGGTCCATACGTCACACGACATCGGACGTCACTTATTCCATTCACCCCTAAGCCGACATTGCGGTGGAAGCTACGCGCTTGCCGGACCAGTAAGCCGCCTCCCATTCATCACCTGACCTCATTCTCTGCTCGTGGGTATGCGCGAGAGAGCGTCATCACCTGGCCAAAGCGTGGCTGGCCCAACGAGCACGTAGCTTCCTCAGCACTGTCAGCTTCGGGTGAACGGGGTGGGGAAGTAACTTTTGCCTGAATTTTGAGCGACGGGCTAATCTTCTAGGGGGAGAATGGTTGTGTCCAGGTACACAAAGGAGAATCCGAGCAAGAGGGGACTCCCCCATGTCCGTCTTCTTGGAACTGTTTGGTAGAATTCGCGATTTATGAGTTGAGGAGGAAAGCTAAACAGGAAAAAGTTGGAAAATTGTTTCATGAACCCTTAAAAAACCCAGAAGATCCTCCATCGCGAGCCTTCTGCCTTCGATAACACTTCGTCGCACGCACAGCCGAGGCCCGACCGAGGGCAACGAATGCGTCCGGGGAGACGGGGCTTCTACCAAACTCTTAGCCTCGGCGCAAAAAGTGCATCGTCAGGGCGCTCGCCGTCTTTGGGGCTCAACCAATCGCGCACAGAAACAAGCGCAGGTTGGCGGCGCTCTTTGTGTGCACAATCGGTTTAGGCGACGATGGTGAACGCACGTAGGCGACGAGAGCTCCGTGACGATGCATCGTTGACACCGCTTGCAATTGACTAAATGCGGAGAGCACGTTGTCTGCTCCTTGCGTAGGAGTTGCGGTGGCGCCCGTATGACACCGAGCTCTCATTGGCGGATTGAAAAAAAAATAGTGGGTAGACATCCAGGCATCTAGTATTGAGGTCTACCTACTATTCTTTGAATCAAAGCCAATCAGAGCCCGGCGTCATTTTGACGTCACCGCAACCCCTGCGCGAGAAGCAGACGACTTGCTCTTCGCATTGTATCGTAGCGCCGAATGCAGTCGGATTCCGAGTGAAACGGAGTAGGCCTCGAGAAACCGAGGGAGAGGAGGAGACCAAAGCACGCGGGGACGTCAAGCTCTGGTTGGGGCTTCGCCAGGGTCGGCACGCTTCGCCCGCCGACGCGGGCGAAGCGCGCCGACACTGAAGCGAGCGAAGCGCGCCGACGCTGACGCGGGCGAAGCGCGCCGACGCTGACGCGGGCGAAGCGCGCCGACGCCGATGCGGGCGAAGCGCGCCGACGCTGACGCGGGCGAAGCGCGCCGACGCTGACGCGGGCGAAGCGCGCCGACGCCGATGCGGGCGAAGCGCGCCGACGCTGACGCGGGCGAAGCGCGCCGACGCCGATGCGGGCGAAGCGCGCCGACGCTGACGCGGGCGAAGCGCGCCGACGCTGACGCGGGCGAAGCGCGCCGACGCTGACGCGGGCGAAGCGCGCCGACGCCGATGCGGGCGAAGCGCGCTGACGCTGGCAAAGCGCGCGAAAAACAAAAACGCCCATATGGTTGGGGCTTTCGAATGCGGAACGCCGGCGTCCGACGTTTGGCTTTCGCATTCGAGTGCGTTCGACGAGTGCAGCAGAGGCAAAGTCAGCCATCTTTAATTCTGGCCCCTAACCATCTAACAGCTCCTAGATAAGAAAGCCTAAGCGCTTAATTGACACTTAAAAGAAGGCAACCGTAGTCCAGGGACTGAACACGAATACGGCGTCGGCCTTCTTTAGTGACGCGTAAAAAGTCGGCACTTAGGCCTTCTTATCTATAGAAGGTGTTGAATCGTCCCAGTCAGAGTTCGGCGTTCTAACGTCCTCTTTCTCAGTTTCTAGACGCATTGTCTTGGATGTGCACACTTACGGAGCCTCTCCCAGCGCTGCTCTGTGAATCCGTCCGACGTCTCGTCTTCTGGGATGTAGTAGTTGACGTTGATGCAGTCCGTCTGCACCGGGGACATGAACGTCTCCACTGCGGGGAGAAGGAGAGAAAAAAATGGCGCCCGTCAATGGGAGGAGCCAGATTCGGATGTTTTGTTTAAAAACAAGCCCGCACTTGTCCACACCAGATGCGGGAACTGCGCGTGCGCAGTAACCAGATTCTCGAGAGGCGTCTGCGCATGCGCCGAGCCGACAGCAGCGCCACCAAAGCGGCGTGACGTCAGAGCCGTGCGTTCATCCTACTCCAAAAATATGGCGCTTAGCGCACGCGTCATGCGATATGCGAAATAGTTCTCGCAATATTTAGTTGCCAGAGAAAGAGGCGATGATTTTGGCTTTTGAAACGTGTACGTCTCGATAAAACAACAGAAAGCTAATCGAAGATTCACTTATGCATGTATGTTTTTACAATTAATGCGAAGATGCGGGCGAGCTGGACGGGAATACACGATAAGAATCCGTGGAGAGGGGGAACAAGGGGAACAAAGGACAAACACAAATCTCAAAGCACAGCTATAGGTGACTTGTGCGCGCTAAAAAGATCCGCCTGGTCCTGGTTCTTAAATCCCTTTAAGGACCAGGACCAGAAGGATTTTATTAGCGCGCAGATTTTTGATGGCCATGGTTTTTTTATATTTTTAATATTTTTATGAAGGCCAAGGTTTTTTTTTATTTGTACATGACATATGAGAGCCCAACTACCCAGAACACAAGTTGCGGCTCGAGATTAGTTTTCTTTCCACCCGAAGACCGCCGATCGAGAACTGGCCGGTTTGAGTCGCGCTCACTCTTTTCTCCATGATCACGTACCGTTTTCTATGGTTTAGACGCAGCCAGCAAAAATAATCAGTCACGAGTCATCAAAGGCACACATTCAATACTAAAAATAGGCGAAAATTGTGATACCCATTTTTGTGGCTTCTAAAAAGCTGCAAATACGTTGATTGAAAAAAAAAAAAAAAAGAAAGTCGCACAGCCACATGGTTGTTGGTAACTTTATCCTCCTTTAGTGAATTTTTTTTACAGCGGAGCTGTTAAGGGCTAGTTTCTCCAGAATCGTGTCCGTCAGCAAACAAATGATGACACGAAACTCTGGACAGCTACCGCCATCTATGAGCGACGGCCGGCGGCAACTTTTACAGCCTTTCCACTCTGGCTTGCCGACTTGCTGCCGGCCATTACTTCATTCCCATCATAATACAGCTTCGCTGGTCTTCCTTCTTCACCAAAGTAAAAAGGCTAAAGCTTTTTTTTTTTCTCCCTAGAGGGATTAATTATTATCGCTTATATATATTAGTATATCCGAATTTAACACAAGAAGGGGAAAATTAGTAACGTTCCGCGAGGAGCCGGACTACTTTCACTGGCGTTCTTGTGGTGAATACGAGTATGGAGCAATCAAGGCCTGCGAACATCCTCCTCTTCCTCCATGGGACGTCATCACAGTTTTCGGTGCGATGATTGGATACGAGAAAGAGCCGAACGCTGACGCGGCATTCGTGTGCAATCAGCGTCTTTCGCTTGATCTCACTGCGATGACGTCAAACTTGTAGTGCGCAGGTAGTAAAAAACGTCCGGCACCTCGCGGAGCGTTACTAAATTCTCCCTTCATGTTGATAATTAAGATACATGTAGGAGGATTTTAGATTATATTGTATGTATGTTATCGTATCAAGACGCACACGTTTCAAACGCCAAACGCATCGCATTTTCCTCCGATAAACAAATCTAGTAAGAACTACTGCGCGCTGCGTATGAACAATGCGCAAAACTTGCTTTTTTCTTGAGGTGTAAAAATAGGTGTAGGTGGTAGCGGTTTGTCCATACAGTGTTCGGCACAGTTAGCTCGAAAGCGCGACGTCACGGCACGCGTTGAGGGATCATTTGTAAGCGGGGTACGTTGTGGAATAATAGTATAACCAGTTTCAGAAAGTACCACTTACGCGTCATGGATACGGTTTGATCAAACTAGAGTGGAACCCAGTTCCTCACAGAAAATTGCAAAATGATTAAACATACGTATCTTAAAAAAAAACTAAATACAAAAAAATGCGAAAACGCACAAGCACAAATACAATCTTGACACTGGTTAAAAAATTTCAAACTCGATTAAATCGTCTCAAGTGAGAAGTATAGAGTTTTCATTAAACTAAAGTCGGGTGTTTTTTTTTATTTTTTTTTAAAGTTTGTTTACTTTGAACACGAAATACAACCCTACATTTTTCGACATGAAAAAAAAATCACAATGTTTTCTCAATATATGACAGGTTGAAATAAGAGGCCCAGTTTTTACCAATGACAAAACGCTTAAAGTGCAGGCGAGCTGGTGTAAGTTATACATGATGATTGAAAACCTGAGCCTGTGGTTTGAAAAACGGAAAATCGTGAAGTAGAAACAAAAAGAAACCCTTTTTCTTTCTACTTCACGATTTTCCGTTTTTCAAACCACAGTCTCAGGTTTTCAATCATCATGTATAACAGTTTTTACCTTCACATTTCGCAACATATTAAACTTGAAAACCCAGAAGTTTACGTGGACGCAAGGAATTATCACGCCAGGAACCGTGCTTCAAAAAAATAGTCTCGCCACCCTCGGTGGAAAAACCGCTACGTTCACGCGCTAAGCTGGCAACAGCGCGCGCGCGCAGCAGAAGCAAAATGGCTGCGCCCAGAGGCCAACGTTGCAAGAGCCTCGCAGGCGTCACAGACCTGTTGTTCACGTGACCTCATTTCGTCACTTTTCTTAGACGTTACTTATTATACCCTGAAACTACAAACTAATGACCACACAACGAATTCTTTCCAAAGATCACCTTTTGCGCGAGTTCAACAGTAGGGCAGTGTTTCCCAAACTGTAGTCGTGATCCCAGACTGGGTCGGCTCGGGAACTTGAGAAAATTCGAACTTGACGCAGCTTAATATCGAGTTGAAACGGAGAGTTGCGGTGTCGATATTTTGCCGTCGTTTTGAGAAACTGCTAAAAAAAAAAAAAAAGCTCACTTGAGTCATTAAAAACAAGTCATTCTTGCCGGCAAGCTTCTTCTTTTTATTATTTTTTTTTTATTTTGCGCTGTTTTCTAGTTAGGTTGATTCACTCCATGGTTGGTTCGCACCACGGTTGACTATACCATGTTCACCGTAAAATGTGACTCAGCGTCCATTTCGTTTTTGAGTATTACCGTTCATCGCCTGAAACGGAAAAGCTTGTGGCATCGCAAAAAGCCGGGAGGGAGGGGGGGGGGGTCGCGACACGATATTTTTATATTTTTGGTAGGTCGAACGGTAGCAAAGTCTGCGAAGCCCTAGAGGGCACCGACACGGCGGTTAAAATGACGTCCGTGCAGTCCGCTTCCAAAAAAAGTGGGTCAAAGACAGACGAACAAAGAAGGTCAACTGGGCCAATCAATTGTCATGCAAATGGACGCAACCAAGCGACGTTTTCTAATTGGCACGGTCGAACGGCAGCCACATCGTATAAATGAGGGGTTTCGTCTTTTTGACGCTGTTTATCTAAAAAAAAAAAAGAAACGAATAGACGCGAAACATTGGATAGAACTATGGTATTATATATTCGCGGATAGGTAGCCACTAATGACGTGCGTCCATGACACCACACGCACTAGATAACAGTCAATTTGTCGGCCTTCATCACTCTTCTAAGCTGTCACAAAAACAAAAATATTAAAGGAAACTTTTCTCTTTTCTTTTTAAATCATTTTATGTAGTCGATGAAAGGACATCGAGCTCTCTTTTTGTTTTCTCAATACGCTGCAAACAGTATCTTTATGATTTATTTTCTCGTGGAATGCAATGCAATACTCTCGGCAGCACACGGTTACCTTTCCGATTACGCGGACAGGCGATCGGTAAAACAGACAAAAATAAATAAATAAATAAATGATCTCAAACAGAGCAGCGGGTGGGGCCGGTTCGTGACGTTATGCCTTCCGTGAGCTGCAAGGTTTCTGCGCCGCGTTGAAATTAATCCGAGTTTACGTCGTGCGCGTTCTGAATTCTACAGCGACGAAGAATAAAAATAAATTAACTCGTCAAAGAAAAAATCTCTACAACTCTGTCAATCTTGACGTTTGTTCATCAGACCACGCAAAGAAAGAGAGAGGGTGAGAAGAGAAAAAAAAATACACGCTTAGCAAGAATGCAATCACCGTTGTTACCAAAACATTTCTTCAGCTCACGACAAGAATTTGCCAGACGGTCCGGAGATTTCCTAGGGAGCGAGAAACGAGACTTGCGAAGGAAAGCTGCGAAACAGCCCGAGATGAAAGTAGTAGTAGGTAGACCTCAATGCTAGATGCCTTGACGTCTATACCCACTATTTTTTTTTTCAACCAGCCAATAAGAGTTCAGCGTCGGTTTGACGTCACCGCAACTCTCACGCAAAAAGCAGACGACCTGCTCTCCGCATTTTCGGTTTCACCTTACGAGGAGCCGCAGCGAAGACTATACGAGCCATCACAGCTAATCCAGCGCCGAGAACGTAACACGTGACCACCCGTCCCTGGCGTCACTGGGCCCCCTCCAGAAAGTCATGTGACATTAGATGGCCGGGATGAGAGCCCCTTGTTCGAGTTCGTTTTTTGCGAGTAGCGTCAAATACGCGGGTGGAAGAAGTCCGTAATCTTTTCGTGATCCAGCGCCCTTCGCCGGGGTTTACCGTAGGGTCGCCGGATCCTGGGGAGTAGCACCATTGACTCTTCTGCCTGCTAGCCGGACAGAAAGAAATACTAACATACAGACGGCCAAAACATCGTAAAGTGATCGGCTGATCGGTTTCAGTTGCCGTGGCGAATTACACATCCCGGTCCATTCAAATCTTCGGTGCTTCGAAAGGGTCGTCCTGACGCGCCCAGATAGCTAGGAAGAATCATTGAACGACTTGCTCATCTATAAAAACGTCTTTGGCGCTACGTATGCGATCAACTTATCAGTCGTGCCTATCTCCACAGATATCTTACAATCGTACACTGTTGTTCTTGCGTATTTCAAAACAAAACAAAAAAGTGTTTTTTT